TCCCTATTTTTGCAAACAATTTGTGTAAAACTGGAGTTAATTGGTTTTTGAATGTTTGATAGAGCTCACTTTAAAATCTGTCTGGTCCTGAAATTTTTTCTTCAAGAGTTCTTTTATGATTGGTTCAATTTATTTTCTTATTTGTTTATTCACTCATTCTAAATGCAATAGGTTTTTTATTTGCAGTTACACATTTCACACAATTTGACATTAGGCTCGCAACATTTTGACACGTATTCTTTATTTCTTCATCATGAAATCACGTTATTATCGCACTGGCTATTAAGCAGGTCTTTGACGAATGGTCCTTTTCTTCCAAGTCTAGTCTTGATTATAGATCATAACTCAGGGGTGGGGAACCCACAGCCTTGAGGCCACATGTGGCCTTCCAGGTCCTTGGGGGGGCCTTGTGACTGAGTCCAAGTTTTACAGAACAAATGCTTTTATTAAAGGGATTTGTTCTGTGAAGTTTGGATTCAGTCAAAGGGCCACAACTGAGGACCTAGAAGGCCACATGTGGCCTCAAGGCTGCAGATTCCCCACTTCTGTCATAGCTTTTCTTTTTTCATCTATTCATTCATTTGTTTTTAGCTTTCAACATTTGCTTTTGTAAGACTTTGAGTTCTAAATTACTCACCCCCCCACCCCTCCCCAAGACAGCATGCAATCTGATATAGGCTATACATGTATGATCATATTAAACATATTTCCACATTAGTCATGTTGTGAAAGAAGAATCAGAACAAAAGGGGAAAACCATGAGAAACAAAAAACAAAAAAAACAACAAAAGAAAGAGAAAATAGTATGCTTTGATCTGCATTCAGACTCCATACTTCTTTCTCTGGATAGAGATAGCATTTTCCATCATGAATTTTTTGGAATTGTCTTAGATCACTGCATTGCTCAGAAAAGCTATCAATTTGTTTTTTCTGTGATGGGGTTATTTAAATTTTCTATTTCTTACTCTGTTAATCTGGCTATTTTACACTTTGTAAACTATTCAACGATTCCACTTAAGTTTTTAGTTTTCTGGGCATATGATTGGGCAAAATAGTTTCTAGCTTCATTTATTTCTGTTATTTTATTGAATTCTCCTAAAATTTTTTTTGACAATTTGTCACTTCAATTTCCTTCAATTTTGTCTTCTTTGATTTTTAGAATTTCTATTTTTTATTCAGTTCAGGCCTTTTGATTTGTTCCTTCTAGTGTTTTAACGCTGCATTCCTAATTCATTAATCTGTTCTATCTTTTGTTGATCAAAGGGTTTAGAAATATAAATTTCCCTCTAATGACTACTTTGTCTGCATCCCAAAAGTTCTGGTATGTTTTTGTCCTACTGTTACCATTTTCTTTGATGAAAATATAGTTTTTATGATTTATTCTCTGATCTATTTACCTTTTTTTTTTTTTAGGCAGTTGGGGTTAAGTGACTTGCTCAGGGTCACACAGCTGTAAGTGTGAAGTGTTTGGTCTGAGGCCAGACTTGAATTCAGGTCCTCCTGATTCAGGGTGGGTGCTCTACCCACTGTGCCACCTAGCTGCCCCTACATATTCTTTAAGATTGGATTACTTAGTCCCCCTCTAAATTTGAATCCTTTTTCAAATGCTCTTTATTCATCCTAACTTTGTGTTTTTAATTAATACATGGTGTGTTTAATAGTTGTTTTTTCTGCATTTATGAGGTTTTTATGCTCTAGTATAATGCATTTCTTAAATGCCTTGCACATGTGAGAAACATATATTTCCTTTTCTTGTGCATTCTCATTCATTAATCATCTGAGATCTATCATATCTAAGTTTTCTAAAATTCTTTTTCAAATTATTTTTTATTGTTTATCTTTTTGTCAGAGTTATCTAAATTCGAAAGGGGTACACTGAGGTTCCCAATTATTACAGTTTTGCTATGGATTTCTCCCTGTAATTTACTTTTTAATTTAAATATTTATATCCTATGCCATTCGGCATATAGATTTAAGTATTAATATTACTTCACGATCTATAGTACTTCAAGCATACTGTAGTTTCCTATTTATCTCTTTTGACCACATCTGTTTTACTGTTGTCTTGCTTGAGACAATAAATTCTACTTCTGCTTTTTTTGAATCTGCTAAATGTAATAAAATTCTGGTGTAGCCTTTCTTTTTAATTCTATGTAAATATTTGTTTCAAGTGTTCTTTATAAAAAAAATTATTGGATTGTTTTCTAATCAATTTTCCTACTCTTCAGTTTTATGGATGAGTTCATCTTATTCAGATTCACAATTACTGGAATACACAAGAGAAAGAAATGTGTATTTCCTTCCATTACATCCACTGCTACTTTTTATTCTTTTACTGCCAAATCCCTCTTTACAAAAGAGCAGACAGAGAAGGAGAAGAAATCTAATACTTGTAATTTAAAATTGCTCTTGCCCTCTTCACTGAGCCAGATCCTAAGATCTGGCCCACTTTCTTTCTCTCTTTTTAATCCTATCTTTATGACCTAACTTCCAAAATTGAAGTTTGTTTTGCTTGAGACTAATCCCCTGATTCAGTCCTCATTCTTAGACCCCCATCTGTTTTCCCTGTCTCCATCCCTTTCCGTATTTTTGTTTAATGAATTTCTATACTTACTCTGTGTGTTCAATCCTCATTTGTTTCAGATAAGAGTAAGATACATGGCCTGCTCTCTCCACTCTTTCTTACATGTCAGTTCTCATGAACATCAGTTAGGAGAAATAGTAAGCTCTTCCTCCTTTTTTTTCCTTTCATTTTTTCCTTACTGTATTTTTTTTCTTCTCTTAAAACCAACAAAACCAAACCATACCTAGGTCTTGTCTTCCTTAATTTCCTTGAAGGCACTGGAATACTGAAGGGACTATTGTTTCTCTTCCCCTGTTAAATGGAAGCATCTCTTCATCTTTAGCTCCTTCCAATTATTCACATTTACCTTTATAGGTTTCTCTCTTTCTTTCTCTCTCTCTCTCATCTCAAAGTTTCTACTAAGTGCTGAACTCAGAAATGCTTGGAAGTCCTCTATTCCATTAAAGATAATTTATCCTCAGTTTTTCAGATTAAGTTATTCTTGGTTGAAGCCTTAACCTTTTGTGTTTTTTCAGAACCTATCATTCCATTATTTTCTGTTACTGAATACAGTTGCTGCCAAGTCTTGTGTGATCCTGACTATGGCTCCTTAGTATTTGAACTTTCTTTCTGGCTGCTTGTAGTATTTTATTTTCTTTGTGATGGAAGCTCTGGGTTTTGGCTATTATCTTCTTATTTGCAATTTGAGGTTTCTTTCAGGAGGTGACTAGTGAATTCTTTTTATTTTCACTTTGCTTTCTAGTACTAATAGATCTGGACAGTTTTCTGATTTTTTGAAATATAATGTCCAGATTTTTTGTTTGGTCATGGTTCTCAGGAAGTCTGATGATTATTAAATGATCTCCTTTCAATCTGTTTTCCATGTTGGTAGCTTTTGATAGCAGACATATAGCATATTTTCTTCTTTTTTTCCAATCTTTTGCTTTTGCTCTAATATTTCTCACTGCTTCATTAAGTCTTTGAGTTGTCTGCCCCATTCTGTTTTTCAGGATGTCCAACATATGGGTCACTTTCCCCCTTTTAAAGTATTCTATGCTGTATATTTTCTACTTTTCCCTCTCCAAAGGTCTTATTTCAATCTTAATTTCATTTTTCATTGCTTCTCGTTACTTTTGTAGTTCTTGCAGCCATTTTTTTCTCTGAAGCTTTGTTTATACTTTCTATTCTCTTATTCTAGGTTTACCTCTTGGGTTTCTCTTAACCAATACTATTTCTTCATTATGTTTGGAGTGATCTTCTATTTATTCCTCTTTCTAACAATAGTTCCCAAATCGAGACTTTGTGCCAAGGGCTGGATGTATCCCCTCTCAAACTCCGGATGAATTAGGTAGCATCTCTTTGGTCTTACCCCTTCTGTAGTCTAGAAACCACCATTGATACCATTCTGTATGGGGTGGCTGGTACTATGCACCAGGTTCTGCCTCAGTCTTTAGCTTCTGTCTTAGTCTCCTGGTGGTCCACTGCAGATGATATCCATCCATTTCCTTCTCCTTGCACATTCCCAATCAGGAGCTGGTCCCATCTTATACAGTGGACCTGGTGGGCCCTAGTCAGATGGAGACTGTGCAGTTCTAGGCCTCTGCAAGTCCCCTCACCCCTAACTTGTCCTGGGTGCTTAGTCAGCCTTGTCTTCTTCTATGGTGATTAGTGCTCTGAGGAGAGCAAAACTGCATATTGCTTCCCTGTGCAATGCCCTATTGGGGCTGGCTCTGCTTTGACAGACCAGGACTAAGATCCTCCTGGTTTCAACCACCTAACAAGCACTTATTAGCATCATGTGCCAATCCCTACACTAAATGCTAGGGATACGAAAATAGGAAAAATTATTAAGAAGGTCCCTAAAAGAGCTTACAAATGAATGAGGGAGATGACATGTAAATAAATAAGTACCTATGGGATAAATATACAGTATAGGGAAGGTTACCAGAACTCAAACTGGCTTTCACCCACCATTCCCCCACTCAGATTCCTCTCTCCTGAACCCCACACAAGGTGTTATCATTCACGGCACTTGCAGGTTTTAGACCTCTTACTGGAGCTCAAATTGGCTTCCCTAGAGCAACTTTCTCTAGTGTCCACTGAGTTGTACATTCCTGGACTGGACAAAGGAGTTTCCTGCTGTTTTTCTTTAGTTTTCTTGATCACTGTTTTGTCTGGTACTCTTTAATGATATTTGTGGAGGTATATGTAGAGGAGCTTTCATATTACCATCTTAACTGCAATCCTAACTAATAACTTTCATGAGAAGGCAGAGAATTATAAAAAAGTATACTTTACCAAGAAGGAAGCATAAGTTATCAAATGTAGACACCAAGAAATAAGAATAAGATGTAACCTAAGGACCCACTAATGGAACTCTAGCTTGAAACCTATCTTATTTATTTATTTTTCAATCCCAATTTTGAAATGTCCTTACCTTTGTCCAGTACTCCAAATTCTCAGAGTCAAAATCATGCTGCAAATAATATATTCAAAATATTAATATACAGATATTTCATTTTAAATTTACTTTACAATTTCAAATTATCTTCCCAAAGTAGGTATAGTAAAAGGTCCTTCATTTTCTTCCCCAAATCATCAAAAAGATCAATAAAAGATTATTGTTGTAACAGTGAATAATGGATTGAGAAACTATCTCATTTTGGTTTTTGTATCCCCCAGAACCTACTATAGTTGCCTGGCATATAGTAGGCTGGCACTTAACAAATGCTTATTGATTGGAAGATTACATACAAATATTACGGGGAAACTTTACTTTAGAGTGACATTCTCTTTTTAAATTTGGTCTGTTTGTTATCTTTAGTGTCTCTCAATTTTTGATTCAGCTACCAGAGATGGGAAACCTGTGGCCTTGAGGCTACTTATGGCCCTCCAGGTCTTCAAGTGTGGCCCACTAACTGAATCCAAACTTCACAGAACAAATCCTTTTATTAAGAGGACTTGCTCTGTGAAGTTTGGATTCAGGCAGAGGATCACACTTGAGGACCTAGAGGGCCACATATGGCCTTAAGGCTGCAGGTTCCCCACCCCTGACCCAAATGCTGGATTGAGGGAAGTAGAACACTATACCAATAACACTAAAGAATAAATTTGGGCTCTCCAGAGAACCAACTTAAAAGGTTACAAAGAGTAGTATATAAAATCTGAAAAGATTTGCTGGGATAGGAAACAGAAAGATCAATTTTCTCATTTCAATACTGCTACGTTGGACTTCAAGATGCTGAACAAAAGTAACTTCTTTGTATTTGTCTGTATTTTGTTTCCTAAGAACTAAGAATGGAGAATTAAACCAACTGAGGTTTTGTTTTTGCAAAATAGAGAAAACTAAGGCAGAAATCAAGTAACTAAAATTGAGCATCTATTATGCTGAAACTACAACTGACACTATCTAGAACAAATCCTTTCCTATACAACTTGCTTCACATTTATGAGAAATGTAGAACTACCTCTAATGGTTAACAAAAAGATGCATTTGCTTTGCTTATGATACAGTTGGGTTGGTAAGTGAATAAGATGAGACTACTTAAGCTAGTAATATTACTGATACACTGATGTGAGAAAGATAGGCCTTTTTCACTTCAAAGCACCCGAAAAATACCAAGCAATTCAGCTGCACTACTCAATCATTTTCCACTACATTCAAAGAAATACCTAATCCTATTACGATTAAACTATATTATAAGGTATTCTTATTCTTCAATTATCTTTTTATTCTCTATGGAGAAAGCAATGAGTTCTATTGAGACCCATTCTGGAGACTTAGGAGCTTTCTCCCAAAACTGTTTAATCAGTGTCTCTGTGCCTCTGTCCTATTTCAGAGTGAGGCCACATAAGGGCAAGAAAGGCTAGTATTTTCCTCATCTTATACTAAAGCAAAGGCATCTATTTGCCTAGCTGACAGGCTATTCTTATACCCCAGTGAGAACTGACTCCTTTTTTATACTTCCTTTTCCATGTTTAAATATTCACTTTCCAATACTTGCAGAAATATTTTAAAATAGTAGAAGAGTATTTTACCTTGATTCTTTAAAATATTATTAACATGCCCACTGCATTGTCCAGATGGGTGATTTAATAATATATAAGAATTATTGCCAGTGTACTACAACATGGCTAGCTGTCTTAGAGATTAGTATTAATATATTGTGACTTTAGTTTAAAAAAAATTGGGATAAAGTGTTATATGGGTGTTCAAGTTGAAAGTTAAGAACCTTCACTCTCTTATTACTTTGACTTGCTTTTATAATTGCTCAAAGTCTGGTGGGCTAAAAACACATTGGTAATATGTGGTTTTGTATACATTATTCTAACTTCGTGCCTTGGAATTTCTCCTGGTCTAAGATGAAGACAATATTAACCTTTTTCATCTTCCTCTGGATATTGGAAGAAACAGATGAAATACCAGATGTAAAATGTGATTTAGCATTATTTAGTTTGTTGGCTTGGTTCAATGTTTGAATCAAATATTAATAAAGTTTACTATCCATTGGGAATTCCTTAACCTATTTTAGGTACTTCATGGATATGGCTTAAGACATTCATTTTATGTCAATACCATAAACAAAAGTTGAGGAAGCATTATTAAAAAGATAATTTTCCTTTGATTGCATTCCCAGTATTTGAAAAGTCAGGATCAGCTGGGAATAAAAGAACAAGTCAGTTCACACTTCTGGACCTCAGCCATCTCATTTTTAAAATGAGAAGATTGGACTAGATCATCTCCAGGGTCCCTTCCACTTCTAAATCTTATGTATGCTAGGAATGCCTCCCAAGAACACTGAAATGTATGGGGAAGTGATCTTCCTATTAGGGAGTGGGAAGTCCTCAAGATGAGATAGAAGATAGTGAATTTTCTTGAAAATAAATATTCTGATACTTCATTAAAAAAAATCAGACCTCTTTTACATGTAATTGGGGAAAATTTACGAAATAAATTTAAAAAAAATTTAAAATCAGACCCCCATGAAACATGTATAAAAAACCCCAAAAAACTGGAGTCTGTTACAGCAAGTGGCCCATTTTCTGTGCCCATTTTTTGGAAGAACAATTCTGAATGGAGTAAAGGTTTTAGAACAAGCTTTTCCACGTCACTCAAGAACATTGAGAGATGCCTGAGCTCCTGGTTTGGTGGGGGGGGAGAGGAACTCTTCCAAGACTGGGTGTGGCTGACTCTAGGGCTGTCACAGTTGGGGCTCCACTGGCCCTGGTGCCATCTTCAATTCATTTCAATAAACATTTATTAAGTGCTTCCCACGTACCACGCACCACTCTAAGCACTAAGGATACAAAACGAGGCAAAAGACAGTTCCTGCCCTCAAGGAGCTTACAGTCTAATAGGGGAAACAACGTGCAAACAAATATAGACAAAGCAAGCTACATACAAGATAAATAGATAATTGATAGAGGGAAGGCACAGGAATGAAGAAGCGCTGGTGAAGGCTTCCTGTAGGAGGTGGGATTTCCTGGGGAGGGGGGTCGGTGGTCGGAGTGGAGGAGGGGGATGCTCCAGGCACAGGGGCAGCGCAGGGAGTGAGGAGGTTGGGTTGGTCGGGGAACGACTACTCCCAGTGCCAACCTCCACCTTGAATCGGGCTCCAGGGACCCCAGGGCTGTTTCTTGCAATCACCTTGGGATTCGCCTTCTTGGTGAATCGTTTCCAGCGATAAAGATCCGTCCTTTTCCCCGAAGAAGCCAGTTCGCGGGTTCCCACCGGCATCTTTCCGCCGGGTTCTCCACAGAACTTACTCCTCACCCTCAGCCTGGGGATGCGGACCGTACTCGCATCTGCAGCGACTGCGTGGGTTTTCCAAGGAAGCTGCTCCGGTGCACACTGGGAAGTGTAGTTCTTCGCTCTAGCAAAAGGCTGCTTCTCAAGCGCAGCTGAACCACAATTCCCGGGAGGTTCTGCGCACAAGAAGAACGCGTCCGCACTGTTGCCTATAGCAACGCCAAAGCTCTGTTTCCATTATCGTCCACCCGACTCCCGGACCCTGGGAACTTGCGTTAGCCTTCCGTCGCGCGGGATGATGACGAATTTCATTTCCAATTGGCTGGGCTCGGAGGCTGGGCAGGAGAGAGTATTCTGCGACCCGGAACACGTGTGAGCAAGTCGGTAAATGTGGGAACTGGCGGGAGACGGGGTTTGGGAGCATCGAAAGAGTAGAACTTTCCCCGGCTTGGTTTGGGCAAACTCGCGTGCGGGCTCTCGGTGCCAATGCTGCGGGAGTTATGGCCGCCTCTCTTTTGTCACCTTATACGGTTCTTTTCTTCCTAGACTCCGCTCAGGTCATCTTTCCCAGCCCCACGGTGTTACTGTGAGCAGGGGACTGGCCACTCACAAGACCTTCTTGTCCAGGGGTTGGTTTCGTCCCTGGAAGCTTAGTATTACAAAGATACCCTGGTGGGGATCTTAGCGATAATCGTCGAGCTGCAGTAAATTGCACAGGGTTACAGTCATATTGCACAGTGTACACTCAATGTAGTAATTTTGCAATGAGGAAACTGACGGGTAAGTGAATTTAAGGGCGTTGCTGGAGCTCGGGATTTGAACCCCTATCTTCCAATTCAGGGTCAGGGCTCTTTCCACTCCTCCCAGCCACACTCAGTGGTGTTTGCAGATCCTGCCCAGCACTGGAGGGGTGTTTCACTGTGTGCTTTTCACATTGATGGCGTTGCCTGAGGTTTGGAGACAGTCAGATTGCTTCTGGGGCCCTGGCTTCCAAATTAAAATCTGGAGTAGAATAGGAAGAGCTTGATTGAGGGAATTTGGAACTCATGTAGAAGAGGTGTGTTGATAGTGTGACCCTGGATTAAATGTGAGGTTAGCCTCAATGCTGGGGGCCTTTATCAGTTATAAGTATCTCCTTGGTAAGCAGTTGAAAATGTAGTTTATCCGTTGTGAGTGAAGGTTGGGTAGACTAGAGACCCTTTTTAACTATGTAAATATAGCGCTTCCTCTCCTTCCTACCCGCCATTGTAACTGTAAATGTGGGACAACTCTGGCACATGCACAGGAATACCCATACATGACCATAAGCTCAGACTGTGGAATCACTTGCCTTAAAATTCCTAGTGATTTTTAATAATAAATTTAATAAAATTCTTTAATCCATTTTCATCCACATAGATGAAAATTAGCACAGGCATTTTAATATGTACATGATAAACAATGACATATATACTTTTCAAGTTTTCTTTTTGGTTTTGTCTAGAGGGTTGTCATTTTATCTCTTTTCACTAGTGGTAATCTAGGCAGCAGTGTAAATAGATGGACAAAGTTTAAAAAAAAAGGACAGTTTTTAAAAAGTGCTTTATAAATCTTAATAAATAAGAGCTATTATTATTAGGAAGATTGAAGCATATTAGAAATCTTTGCCAAGTTCCATTTTGAGGAATACTTTTAATCTCTTGATGTCTTCATATGTTTCATTTTTAATGAACATACATTTTAATTATGTTCTTAGAAAAGAACAGCAAAAAATATTTTTAAAATCACTTAGCAGTTGAAGAGTGAGTAAGGAGAATATGATTCTTGTTTCCGGATAAGACAAACTGCTGTATGTTGTTTTCTGAAAAATGTTTTACTTCTGTTGTCATAATATGTTTTAACGATGTATTTATTTAGTGTTCCCAGTGGTGGATTTATTAACATTACAACAAAAACCAAAATCAAACAGTACTTTGTCTAGTTCATTACTTCCCAGTTCTTTGCAAAATTCATTATTTCCTGGTTTTTCTCACTATTACCATTTTTTAAAAAGTATTTCTACTCTTAAGTGATATGCTTAGATCGCATCCTCCATAAGAAACCTTCCATTTACTCTACCATCCCCTCTGTCTGTATAATCTTATATCTCTCTTTTCTCTGTTAAACTCCAAGGAGCATACATCTGCAGTTGCCAATTCTACCACCCATTGTCTCCTTAACCCTTCATGCTGACTTCTCATTTGCACTAATGTGTGCCTGAAACTGTTATCTTCAATAACTTTCTTAGACCTTAACCTTTTTGACTTTTCCAGAGCATTTAACTACTCTCTCCTGTCTTTAATTATGTAAAACTTACCTGTCCTGAATCATAACAATTTATCTGACCCATCCTTGTTCATCTCCTTCACTTCTGACCATTAGTGTGGTGTTCCTCAAGGCCACTTAGGCTTTCGCTTTTACTTCCTATAGAGGGAAGTGACTATTCCATCATAAAATATTCTCTTTGTGATACCCCTATTCCCCCCCCAAAAAAAAAGAAAGGAAAGCTAGACTTTGATATATACCCTAGATTTGGAGAAAGCAGATCTCAAAGTGTTTAGAAAAGGGAATGGAAGTAGTATTTATATTGTGTTACTGTGTGCCAGGCACCGTGCTAAGCTGATCAGTGCAAGAAAAGTGCTATTATTATCATCTCCATTTTACAGTTGAGGAGATAGGTTAAATGACTTGCCCAGGGTCACCCACCTAGTAAGTGTCTAAATCTGAATTTGAACTCAGGTCTTCTTGATTCCAGGCCCAGAGCTTTATTCCTTATACCACCAGCTGCCTGAGAACAGCTTCTGTGGATTAGAATCCTACAAAGGAAGTCAGCCTAGGAGAGATCATAGTTCTAGAGCTAGGAGAAACCTCAGAGGCTGACTGGCCTAATGTTTGAAATCCCTATTCATTTCCAGTTTGAAAAAACATCAGGACATTTGCTTTTCTCTGGTTCTGTAGCACTTTTTCTTTTCTCCATGATTTTTTTTTATTTTCCAAATTTAATTTTATTATTTTTGCCAATTAACAAGCATTTATTTTCACTCCTCATTTCCCCCATTGAACAATTAAAAATAATGAAATAGAAGGCCATAATAACATATGCATAATCAAACAAATTTCCACAGTGGCCACATCCAAAAATATAGGTTTCATTTTGCATTTTAAGTCCATCTTTCTAGCAGGAGGTGAAGAATGTGGTTATCTTCAGTGCTCTGGAATCATGGTTTATCATTGCGCTGATCAGAATTCTAAAATCTTTCCAAGTTTTTCTTTATGATGTCATTATGTAAATTGTTCTAGTTCTGTTCAATTCACTCTGCATCAGTTCTTAGAGTTCTTTCCAGTTTCCTCTGAACTGTCCATTTTAGGGTTTCTTGTTGAAACAATAATATTCCATTACATTCACATGCTATAATTTGTTTAGACATTCCCCATAGGTAGGCACTCCCCTAAGTTGCTAGGGTTTTTTTGCTAGTATAAGAAAAGCTGTCATATTTTTATACATGTAGGTCATTTTCTTTTTTCTTTAACCTTTTTTATGGGTATTTACCTTGTAGTGTTATATCTGAGTCAATGAGTGTGTAGAGTTTGGTGACTTCTTGTGCATTGTTCCAAATTGTTTTTGAGAATGGTTGGACTGATTCACAGGTTCACCAACAGGGCATTAATGTTCCTGTTTTCCCATAGCCCCTCCAGCTTTTGTCATTTTTCTCTTTAGTCATCTTTCCCAATATGGTTTCTACTATCCTTTACAAACAAACAAACCAAAACCACAGTGGTTCAGCAGTTACACCTTGAAATTCTTTCCATTCTTTGAGTGTGCAGTAGTTCATCTGTGTATGATGACTTGGACTCGTCAGAGGCAGCCAGGTGCTCTTCCACTATTTCCTTATTTACACTGAGTATCCACTCCCTATTAGCCATTTTCTTTCTTTTCCAGTGTAATGTTCGTTCTCTGTGGCAGAAAACACAGAATCAAAATAAATTGAGCAATTTCATTTTCTCATTAATCATTATCATTGTCCCATCTACTTCAAGTAGAAGGCCTGTTCTTTCTTTGATCCTCCTTTCTCCCCCTCAGTAGATTAAAAAAATTTATTTTTCAGGCCTTAGAATGTTTCAGTAGGCTCTACTCATTTTGAGCTTTAGCACTACTGAAATGATTCTTAAGGGATTGTGGGTTCTTTTGTATTCATCCTCCATTACTTACCCTTAAACCACTTAACCTCTCAGTGCTCTAGGTAATGCTTAAAGATTGTAAGTTGCAGAAAAGGTACTTATCTGCATTGGTAGAAAGAATTTCCTCACCTGGGAGTTCCGTGTACCAGTGGAATCACAGGTCTCTTTTCTAACTTATCCTTAAATTGCCTTTGCCTCCATCTTCTATACCTGTGTTTTAAAGATGTTTATTTATATATTCCCTGAATATCCATGTAGATAATGCCCTTCTTCATTATAATTGTTTCTGTTTGTCTTTAGAATTTTAATTCTTGAAGGCTTACCATCCCATGGGAAACAGAATGGTACAATAGAAAGAATGATGGTCCTGGCATCAGAGGATCTGATTTTGAATTCTGATTACACCTAGATCTTAGTTTCCTCCTCTATAAAATCAGGGGTCTGTACTAGATTGGTTAGTCAGGAGAATATGTGTGTGTGTATATGTATATGTGTGTATGTATATATTTATATTTATTTGCATGGGTTTCCCAGAACATTTCATAAGGCTTTCCATGCTGTTTTTGTGGACAAAATAGAGAAATTAGTATAGTTAGGTTAATTGGGTGCTATTTGAATGGCCAAACCCAAACTGTAGTCACTGATAATTTGATGTCAGCTCCAGGATGTGTGCTGTTTAATCTTCTTGTCAGTGACATAGATATGCTTATCAGATTTGCAGATGACACAAAACTAGCAGGGATAGTTAATACATCAGAGAACAGAGGCAGGATCCCCAAATATCTTGGCGCACAAGAACACTGAGCTGACTCTAATATATGAGATTTAGTAGGGATAAATGTGAAGTTTCATACTTGAGTTCAGAAAGTCACCTTCACAAATACAAGATGGTTAAGTATGGTTAGATAGCAGTTTGTCTTTAAAAAGATCTGCAGGTTGGGGCAGCTAGGTGGTACAATGGATAGAGCGTTGGTGA